ACTTGCTGCATTTCATCAGGGCAGGAGGCTGACAGTCCGAAGAGGCAGCCAAGGTGCCCAGGACTGCACAGCAGCTGAGCCCAGAGCTGGGTCCGGGGGGGAGAGCTCATCCCAGGCATCAAGTGCGTATGGCTGTCAGCGGCCAAGGCCTTCCTCTTATTTTCTACACAATTCCTAGCAAGCTCCTTGCAGGAGGGGGCAAGTCTCTGGCTACCCGAGCTGCAGGGCTGGTTAGGGAGCACTCGCCCCCCATCTCACCCAGCTCTGCACGCACGTGGGGAGGACCTGCCGCGACTGCATTCCTTGTTGTGGTTATTGCTGATGCAAATAAGCGCTCGCTTTATTTTATCCATAAATTCCCTTCCTAATAACATAAGGCCTGCCAGGGCCTTGGCCTCATGCCTTATTACACCCCCTGAGGAGTGAGATAATCACCCAGAAATGTACTGCCTGTTGTGCATTTTATTACTTGAATACAAAGCGATTCAATTCAAGGAACACTTAGTTGAAGACAGCAGGAAAAAAATAATAATAATCATATGAAAAGTAATTCTTCCTAATGCTACTGAGCACACTGCAGGGAATAATCCTCTTCCAGCGAGAGAATGGTCTGTGACCCGTCGGGTCTTCTCCGGTTCCAATTTCTACTGACTGCAAGATTGTGCAAGCCAGAGACCTCACCAGCCTCCTCGCAGTGTGGACATTCCAAAGAGCCAGATCTAGGTGGCTCTGACAATGGAGCCTGTTTGGTGTTCAACCTGACCATTCGCGGTATCGGCATTTTCCAAGCAGCTACCCCTCAGCGATTCATTCTTGAGCAAACGCTGCAGGCCACACACAGGTGAGGGTGGAGGGAGGGGAGGGGAAGTGCGAACAGCCCAACCTCTGGCAGTTCACCATCTCGCTCAGGATTTTAGGAAAATGCAGTGTGTTCTTCAAGTCCATGAGCAGGCATACCAACTGCAAGTACAACGGCATTGAGGCAGCACGTAGAAACTTGGCAACTTCCTGTCCTTGAGTTGCTCAGCGTGTGCACTGAATCACTCTTGCTCCAGGATTAGATGAAAGACCTTTTCCAAGAGATGCCAGTGTCAGTTCACGTCAAGGTGGGGGTAGAGCTAGTCCATTTGTAGATTCCTTATGCAGAAATAACATGGTTTTTAATTGTGACTAATACCATCATTTTAAGATGCATTTCTTCTCCATCTTTATTTATTTAGTGCTTATTTATTTTTGAGAGAGAGACAGAGACAGAGTGCAAGCTGGGGAGGGGCAGAGAGAGAGAGGGAGACACAGAACAGAATCTGAAGCAGGCTCCAGGCTCTGAGCTGTCAGCACAGAGCCCGACGCGGGGCTTGAACTTGAGAACTGCAAAATCATGACCTGAGCTGATGTTGGACACTTAACCGACTGAGCCACCCAGGTGCCCCTCTTCTCCATCTTTAAAAATTAGTCCTAAAAGACTGTTAAAGGGGCGTCTGGGTGGCTCAGTTGGTTGAGCACCCAACTCTTGATTTCAGCTCAGGTCATGATCTCATGGTTCATGGGATCAAAGCCCCATGTTGGGCTCTGCCTGGAATTCTCTCTCTCCTTCTCTCTCTGCTCCTTCCCTGCTCATGTGCATGCATGCTCTCTCTCAAAATAAAGAAAAATTAAAAAAAAAAAAAAAGGTTGTCGAAGCAGCCATATAGGTAGCTTGAAACAAGCAGAGGTCCCTGAGCCGACAATATCAGCATCACCTAGAACCTTTCAGAGAGGAATTTTCTCAGGCTCCACCCAGACCAACCAATCAGAAACTCCGGGGGTCAGGCTAACCCACCCATCTGTGTGTTAACAAGCTGAGACCACTGGTGTAGAAGACGCTGAAGCTGATTTATGAGTCTACAGTTTTTGAAGGAGGCTCTGTGAAGTTCCCTGCTTAATAACAAAATGAAGTAAAAACACACACAAACATCATCACCCCGAAGCGATTCGATGGAGACCCACCCAGCAATAACTGAGCACCCAGTTTTCTGGCAATCAGTTAATCCAGAGAGAAAAAACAAATTTACTAATGAGGCCAAGACTGAACTCTCTGGAATTTAAATGTTAGGTTTTTGCCCCATTGAGCCAGGTGTGTGTGTGTGTGTGTGTGTGTGTGCGCGCGCGTGCGCGCGCGTGTGCACTTGCATACATGTATGAGTGGCTTGCATGTTTCTCATAGAAACGAGTAGATGATAAGAAAATCTGTCAATACTCAAGAAGGGACACCTTGCACTGACCACAGACTCCCACAGCTCTGCAACCTACTTCAAAGAACATGTGGAAAATCGAAAGCAAGTCATCTGCATGATAATCTAATCAAATATTAGGATTCCGGGGCTCGTGCTGTCTCCTCCACCCCAGCCGCGTGCTCCCCTCAATATCTTAGACTCAGCTGACAACCCCTTGTCTACTGTTCTAAACATAGGGATTATAAGAATGCAAGCTGATTTACAAATATATTCCAAATGATAGGGTATCGTAAAAAACAATTTAGCCAGTCAACTGAATTCAATTTAGCAGGAAAAATCCGTGGCCGTAAAGTGACCTGCCCCCAGGGCCCGCGGCCCCACATGTCTGAGCCACGGGCTTCCTCCACCAAGGGTCCCCGCTGTCCGTGCTCTCCCCCGATCCCTGCCCAGGCCCCACCTTCCTCCCAAACCTCACTTCAACCAGTACCTCCTCTTGCAGCATGAATTCCAAGCCCTCTCCCACCCCCACTACAAGACACACCCACACAAACTCAGAAATGAACTGAAAATGTAACACAAACCCTTCAACATTAACATGCTTTAACGGAGTAATATAATGATTATAAATACGTTGAAATGTAAAAACGTGTTCAGAACAATGTTAAGAGAAAAAGTACTATGAACACGATATAAAACTGTGCTTTCACAGGGGCACCTGGATGGCTCAGTCGGTTGAGCGTCTGACGCTTGGTTTTGGCTGAGGTCATGATATGGTTCGTGAGTTTGAGGTCCGCATCGGGCTCTGCACTAACAGAACAGAGCCTGCTTGGGATTCTCTCTCTCTCTCTCTCTCTCTCCCCCTTCCCTGCATGCATGTCTGTGCTCGCTCTCTCCAAAATAAATGAATTACAAAAAAAAGAATGAAAAATGTGTTTTTACATGTGGACAGAGTCTACAAGATGTGACAAAAATAGCTATGTTGGCAAGGAGGGGGTCAGTGATCTTTTTTAAGTGTTCTTTAATAAACGTCTGGTAGCATGTTAGAAAGGATGTGCCTACGGGGCCCCCCAGACAGCCCACGGCCTAACTCCTGCCACCTCCCTCTCCCCTCCTGACCTGGGGGTCCCTCTCCTGTCACCCACAGATATGGGTGTGACTGTCACCTCCTGGGAGAGGTCTCCCTGATTACCCATCTGCGTCCTCCTCCACACCCTCTCATCAAAGCCCGTCCTTCCCCTGTGCCGCACTCAGCACCGTTGGGAGTCACACTTATATTTGGGAAATGATAACCTCGATTACAGGCTCCATGAAATACAAAAGGCCTTTTACACCACTGACCCCTCCAGCCACAGGACTGTGGTTCCAGAAGTATTTCTCAAATTAGTGAGTGGAGGATTTTCACAGCCCCGGCATTCAACAGCACCCTCCTCCCGACACAAACTGATATGCACACACATGCACACACACACACACACGTACATGCACACATGCACATGTGTGCACACACATGCACATATGCACATGCACACGGGCACACACGCACACGTGCATACACACTTCCCACTCTGGACCCTGTTGCGGGCCATCACCCTCCTTCCCACCACCCAGTACAGCACTTTCAGTATCACCCACAGTCTCTCACTCCGGGCCCCTCCCCTGGGCGCCGGTGACCCGTGTCAAAAAGGTCTCAATTAACACCTGAGACCCTTAGGATTAACCTCTACCCCCGTCTCCGTTCCCCGTGAGCCTCTTCACTTCAGGACAGCAGGGGTCACGTCTGATTACGGTGTGCGTGTGTGCAACACAGTGAACGTCAGGCGCATGTTAGGCGCAAGTGGACACAGTGCTGAGGTGCCAACGCCCTGCTGCTCCCGGACACGGACCCTCAGGGAAGAGCTGCTCCCGTCCTGCCTGTAAGGCGCTTTCTCCATCACAGACCCCGAAGTCTGATTCCGGGCGGTGTCTCAGAAATCCTCTCTCACCTAACGGCCGTTCTCGGACTCCCCAGCCCCTGACACAGCGACACAGCCACGGTAGAAGGCCGCAGCCGCGCCGCGTCCGAAGACCGGCCGGCACGTTGGCTGTTTTGACAGCGCTGCCAGCGAGCAAGGCCTCCGATGCTGGTCTCCCCGCGCGAGCTCGGCGGGGAAAGTTTTGCTTCTGCCGCCACCTATGGGGGGAACTGAGCGTGTGGCCACGAGCAAACCTGCGCCCCGGCACTGCAGCAACACAGGCTCCATGGCTTTCCCAGGGCCTCAGCCTCGCCAGATATTTGAAGTCATGCTGAGCTCCCAGTTAAGGGCACTCAGCTTTAATATGGATAAGCTGAGGGGCACCTGGGGGGCTCCGTAGGTTAAGCGTCTGACTTCAGCTCAGGCCATGATCTCACAGCTCGAGAGTTGGAGCCCTGCGTCCGGCCCTGTGCTGACAGCTCAGACAGAGCCTGGAGCCTGTTTGGGATTCGGTGTCTCCCTCTCTCTCTGGCCCTCCCGAGCTCATGCTCTGTCTCTGTCTCTCAACAATAATTAAACACTAGAAAAAATGTTTTAAACTAAAAATAAAATGGATAAGCTGATACTTGTTGATATGATAAATGTGTAAGTCCCTAGACAAATTGGACACAAAAATCGGCATTTAGTATGTGCCTGCTGCATGCATGACTGGCCCCAACCAGACAGGAGTGATAACAGTATCAGCAGCAGCCTGTAAAACTCCTTTCTCTGGAAGCCTTCTGCCTGGGGTGGCGCTGTGAGCTCACCGCCGCCCCACACCCGAGCGGGGTCTCACCTGGCCTTGGACCTGTCGCAGGACTTGCTGCCGTTGACTGCAGCAATGGCTGTCTGGGTGCTATTTCGTCTCATTGCCTTAGAAATTAACTACTTCGGAATCTGTGGATTCTGAAAAAGAAGACGGCAAGGAGTCAGCACGGGCTGGCGGGCAGACTTTCTCGTTCACCTTATCAAGCCGCCAGAATGGAGCCAGTGGGTCCGGAAGGTCATCAGCTGATCTCGCAGGTTACTGGAGAACAGTGTCGAAAGCCTCAGGCAGGTCCCCCACGTGACTTCATACTAAACTGCAGGTTTCGGGGGGGGAGTGGGGGGGGTATCTTATGTCAACACTGTATCACTAATCTGCCTGTGTCCAGATCGCACACCCACGCCACACACATCACAATCACGCACCCTCTGGTTTCCTCAAAGCCGCCAGAATAAACATTTTAAATGTTCTCATGTTTCTTCCTTGTTTTAAAACCTCCCAACTGCTGCTGGGGTACTGGGGTGGCTCAGTCAGTTAAGCATTCGACTCTTGGTTTTGGCGCGGGTCATGGTCTCCCGGTTCGTGAGTTCGAGCCCCTCATCGGGCTCTGCGCCGACAGCAAGAAGCCTGGAGTCTCTCTGTCTCTGCCACGCCCCCACTCATGCTCACTTGCTCTCTCTCTCTCTCTCCCTCTCTTAAAATAAATAAAAGTTAAAAAAACAACAGCATCTGCTTCCTACTGTCCTTAGGATTAAAACCAAGCCCTTAATGGTGTCACAAGGCTCTGCGGGTCAGCCCTGGCCTGCTTCTCCATCGGTCTCCCTCTCCCCAGGCCCCGGAGCCTCAGCCACAGAGGCCCTTGGCCGTCCGTCTGATGTGGCCTTCCTGCACAGAAGCTCTGTTTTCAGAGCCACAGCCCCCTCACCTAGACCACCCATCCGTCAGGTCTGCCTCATGCTCTCCTCCTCCCGAAGATCAGTGGTTCTTAAACTCCAGTGTCCATCACAACCGCTCGGAGGGCTTGTTAGGAACCGATCTCTGGGCCCAGCTCCAGACCCTGATCCTAGCTCTAGATCCTGGGGAGGGTGGGGCCTGAGAAGTCGCCTCGATGGAAAGTTCCCAGGGGATACCGCTGCTGCCCAAGACCACGGCCACAGGTGCAGCCTTCCTTGGCACCCCCACACTAGGCCCCGCCCCCACGACACACTTGCATCACCACTTCTGCTGTCCTTCATAGCCCTCAGCCCTGTGTGTCATGACTTGGTAGGAGTATTCAGGTAATGCTTGCCTCGTAGACTAAGTTCCAAAAAAAGCAAGGGCCGGGTCAATTTGTGTAATCAGTACAGCCCCAAGTCCTGGGCTACTGACTAGCGTTCAAGGGTGTTCAGACTCATCGAATGAAAGAATGAATTTGCTTCCACTCCTGAACCTTGGTAAGTTAAGGCAGAAATCCCTGCCTTTGACCTTGGCCTCCTGCTCTCTGTCTAAGCAGTTGGCGAGGACTGTCAAGTTCACCTGCAAAACACTCATCAGTCTATTCCTTGCCCCACTCCATCCCTGATATCACTGCCCCGTTCATCCCCCCTCATCTGGGTTACAGAAATAGCCCCGCACATCGCTTCCAGATCCCACCTTCTCCCTCCAGCCCTTCTCCTGTGTGGCCAGGATTTTTCTTTCTAACACACGGATATAGTTGTGTGTGACTCCCTGGCTTAAAAACGTGTAATGTGAAACTCTACATGTGTTAGAATCTCATAGAACATGTCAAACTAATGAGACCGGAATACAGTCTGTAGTTTAGTCACTAGTACAGTCCCAGTGGCTGATTTCATCCCCGTATGACGGTTATTTGGGAAGGGGTCATCACGGTGCGGTGTGGGGGGGTGGCTCTGGGATGCACAGAGGAACTCTCTGTACTGACTCTGTAACAGATTTGGGAGTCTAAAATTATTAAGTTTAAAAAAGAAAAAAACAACAACCTAGACTGCTTCTCCAGGGTATCGGGACTGAAGCCAAACTGCTAACTAACTGTGGGGGACAGGACCCGCCATTAATAACCCGTCCCCCAGCCACGGCAGGTCCCAGCACGCCCCGCGGACGGCACTGTCACACAGCCTTCCGAACGTGCTGTGTCGTTCCCCACCTCTGAGGAGGACACACACGCTTTGGCTACGATTTCCTTCCACCCCTCCTGCCTGCACGCTGCAATTCGTCTTTCAAGATTGGGGGTGCAGCCCCTCCTTCGTGAGGCCTTCCTTCCTATCTTCCTTAAACAAAACTAATCGTGCTTTTATGGAGAATCTGGTCTCATAGTTTTGTTTTGCCAATTGCTTTATTTAATAGAGGACAGGGGCGCCTGGGTGGCTCAGCCAGTCAAGTGTCAGACTCTTGATTTCAGATCAGATCATGGTCTCACGGTTCATGGGATTGAGCCCCACTTCGGGCTCTGCACCGGCAGCATGGAGACTACTTAGGATTCTCTCTCTCTCCCTCTCTCTCTCTCTGCCTCTCCCCGACTCGTGCTCTCTCTGTCTCTGTCTCTCTCTCAAAATAAATAAACTTTAAATAAAAATAAAGAAAAAGACAAAAAGGTAAAGGCACCGTAATTCCATTCCTTTGCTGTGGGGCCAGGTGGGACCACTAGTATAAAGTGAAAGTATGACTTTCCAGGCCATCACTCTAGCCCTAACTCTACGTTCACTCTAATCCTCTGCTTCAGGAATTTTTTGCGGGCTGTTTACCTGTGGCCCCTGCAGGTCAGTGAGCCCCTCCAGCGGAGGGATTGGCTGATCTCCCCGCCTCACACCGGCGCCTACACAGCGAGCTTTGTTCCGATGTAGCACAGTGGACACCTACCACCGTGAGGGCAAGAAAGCTAAGCTAACTTGACCCTTGACTCTGAAAGCTAAGCAGGGCCCAGAGTCTTAGCGTGGCGCTCTGATGAGTCCTGTGTCGGTCATCTCTGACTTCACATCACCCTCAGTTTGGGTTCTCTAAACAGAGAACTCTGAGGCATTAATTAATTCCTTCAGAACGCAGTGAGGCAGAGATTAAGAAGCCATAGGAAACCGATGCCCCCACACGAGCACCAAGTCACTGGCCATCAAATACACTTCTGACCACACGCAAACACAATCAGAGGGCTGTTCCACTGATACGTGTGTTTATATGCCGGATAAGTATTAATGTCCACTTTGTAACAGATGCTATTTATATCAGAATCATAACAAAAGTGCCATCCATCTGCCTTGGCACCCAGAGAAAACATAATTCAACACAAGAGTGAGAAAGAACTGTGCACAGCCAAACAGAAATGGCATCAGAAGCAAAAACTGTTGGAACTGGTATCATGGGGAGGGGGGGCGGGAGGGAGACTGTCACTTGGAAAAAGTTGCAAGCGACACAAAAGATTTTGGCAGTTAAATCCGAATACTTGAGAAAAAAAATCTTCTCCTTGTCTAACCTGATTATCATATGGATGCTTTATTGTATTTTGGAACACATACCCTAGAAAGTTCCCTTTTTAGCCTTCCACACACTCACTCGGTCATTTACTGAGCGTCTATACTTTTGGACGATGGGAAGAACAAAGAGTTTAGAGTCAAGAAGACTTAGGGTCAAATTGGTTCCACTATCTACCATCCAACTTGCAATTTAATTAACCTCTTCCTGACCCAGTTTCCTCAGCTGAAAAATGAAAGTAACGCTTCTCTTTAAAGCAAGTATTCTTTTTTTTCCTAAATTTTGTAATGTTTATTTATTTTTGAGAGGGAGAATGAGCAGGGAAGGGGCGGGGGGGTGCGGGAGGGGCAGAGGATCTGAAGCAGGCTCTGGGCTCTGAGCTGTCAGCACAGATCCTGACGCGGGGCTCAAACCCACGAACTGCAAGATCATGACCTGAGCTAAAAAGTAGGATGCTTAACCGCCTTAGCCACATAGGCACCCCTTTAAAGCAGGTATTCTTCACCTAGAATCTAGGGAAGTGGTCCACCTGTGGGCTTTGGTAGATCTTCAAACCCTCAGGGGTTAAATGTAAAAGTGTTACGAGATGATTTTTCTAAGGGGATATATTACTTTCACCAGCTTCTTAAAGGGCAAGTGAACCAAAAATGCTTAAGTGCCATGGCCCTACAGGCTGTGGAAGCGTCAGGGGAAACATATCTAAAGCACCTGACACACAGTAGGTTGTGTTCACTATTTGGTAGCTGCTATTATTTTCAGGTCTCGGGAACATACAGAAGCCTTGATCGTAGAGGGCACAGGGCGGAAATGTACAGAGTTACCATGTAAGGCGTTGAGTGTCCTCTCAGGGCTTTATAAAACCACAAAGGAGGGTAAACCAAAGTCAGTCCAGGAAAAAACCCCAGTAGTAGCCAGTGACAGGGCGGAGGCACCGAGGGTTATCAGGACAGTGACATGACCATCACCACAGAGTCCTTGATGCCTAGACAGGCCCCGGCTTATGGCAGGTGCTGAATGAATAACTCTTATGTAAATGAGCAAGCAAAGACTGGAACCACCCCAGGGGACCGGACAGCAGCATTTACCAAGTCCGGGCAGGGGGAGAAATTCAGAAGGTGTTACTTCTGAGTTCTATTCTGTTACTGTTACTGTTCAGAGTTCTTTCATTTCAAATATTCCACACAAACGTGACAGTCCCTACTCTGTCCCTAGCGGGTTAGGACCCCGAGCCTGCACCTGAGCCATCTGGTAGTAATCGAGCCCTGCCCAGGTTCTGCGATGAAGACCTTCATGGTAGAAAAGCTTTAGTTTTTCAGAGGAATTAAAATGCTCTCTTTGGACAAAATGAATTCAATTTCTCTCTCTTTTTTTATTTTCTTATTTCTTGAGTCGACAAGAAGCTCACAACTAAATCTGCTTTCAAAAAGCCCAACTATATTAAGCAGTATGGACAAACAGAGTATTTTCTCTCCTCTGGATATTATTTTCCTATTCTACTTGCATTCCTCATGATTCTGACTTATGTGTTTTTTATTTTACTGTATTATATGTATTCTTACGACTCATCTCAAAGCCTGAGGGGTCGCATGGAGTCTATCAGTATTTGAGTGCTAGAGCACTGGTCAGGCACACAGAGTTCCTACCGTCTGGCAATCCTGGAGTAGAGGGCACGCTCTACCATTCATGGGCCTGGAAGCCCCTTAACTTCCTTGAGTCCCTGCTGCGTTATCTATAAAATGGGAAAAGTTAGCTATGCCTTTTTGTAAGCACGTGGTAAGAACTAAATTTAAAAATGGACGTGAGGCCCCCCGGCTGTGCCTGGAACACAGTTAAGTGCTCCGTAAGTATTCACCAGGAGTACTAATACTTTAGGACCAGTAGTAGGAGAAGTCATAAAACTCCAGGGGCGCCCACGTGGCTCAGTCGGTTAAGCACCTGACTCTTGATTTCGGCTCAGGTCATGATCTCACAGTTCATGGGATGGAGCCCCGCATCAGGCTGACACCATGGAGCCTGCTTGAGATTCTATCTCTCTGTCTCTCTCTGCCCATCTCCCCCCCCCACCAAAAAAATAAATAAACTTTTTTTAAAAGGCATAAAACTGCAAATAAATGGAGAGAAAAAACAACAGTAGTACCCAAAACAACGCCAACAAAAAAAAAAAAGAGAGAGCAGTAAAAGGTTAAAACCAAGAGAAGAAAAAGTGGAAAGTGAAGCTCTTTAGACCTGGAAATATAATATATTTATATGTTACTTCTATTCCCAGACTTTTCTCAAACAGATCCCTTTCCTTGAGGACTCCTCTTCCAAATGGCGTGGATATCCTGGATAGCATCTTGCTGAAGGTGAGTTAATATTGAAAAATTGCAAGAATCCCACCTCTATGAGCCTACACTTAAATATACTTCACCAAAAGGCCAACTCACTCGTGGTGTTTAAAGGAAGAAAGCAACCAACTGTTAGCTCCTGGTCTCACATTTTCCCATGTTCGTCATACAGCCTGCTTTCCCATCCTGGCAGGCTCTGGGGCCATCCAGGAAGACCTCCAGTGACCCTCAGCGCCTGCCAACCTTACACATCCACTTTCAATACACACCTGCCAAGAAGCCTTATTAAAGCAACTGTCTTGTCAACAGCCAGGGGCCGCCCAGTGGCTTCCCGCGCTGGGTGGGCACCAGATCACGAAACATCTTCCTGGAGCCAGTTCTGTGTCCATGTGCCGGTCAGCTGCCAGAGATCTCTGTGCATGGGGCAGGGGTGAATGGCTGGAAAAGGGGCAGGGGAGAGGCCAAAGTCAGAGAGCAAATTTCAAGTCTCAAGCGAGTATTTCTTGACAAATTTCTGCAAGTGCCAGAAAGAAGAGGCAAAGGAAAGCACAAGCAATGAAAATAACACCCTTTGTCCTCAAGGAGATCGCAGTGAGGTTGACTGGGAAGCAAATATGTTCACAGATAATCCCAGGGGTCATGCCTGATTCAGTTTCGAACCTCACAACCTCCCCCCCCCACCAACTTAGCCAAGTCAATGTTTGTTGAATGGAAGAAAAAAAAAAAGAAAGAGATGAAGGGACTACGGTATGTGAAAGTCGAATTTATTTACAGCATCTCTGAAAGTCCATCCATTTAGGGGCACACAGGACTCGAGAAACAGTATTAAGCGACTCTCTTTGAAAGTCAAGTAAGAGTCCTCTCAACAGGGTAAGGCATTCTGAGAGGCAAAGAGTTTTCAGGAGGGAAGGAAAGGAAAGATGGAGAAGGAGAAGCAAAGGATAGGGGTGCCTCAGCCAATGATCTTAAGCATGCTCTTTGCAACAGAACGTTTCACAAAGTGCTTTCTGGACAAAATTTCTGAGGGAGGTAAGGATAACTGTGTGTGGTCTGAAGACGAAAGAATGTCCTAGGAAGAGGTTTATTGGTTTGTTTTTGTTTTTGTTTTTTTAAACACGAGGCAAGTGCTGGGTTTGAATTCTGGCTCTGCATCTTCCCAGTTGTGTAAGTTTGGACGATCCCCTTCGCTCCACACGGTTCAAGTCGCCCTCTACAGGGGGGAGTTAATGACACTCAAGATCGCTGGGCGGACAAATGGCGTAAGGGACATGAAACGTTCTGTAAACCGGAGTAATTGAAGGCAGTGCCACACATTTCCCGTGTGACCCTCACAAATCCGGGGAGGAAGATGTCACCACCTTCCACAATGTGGTACGTCTTCCCCAAATACGATGTCAGCCCCCGGGGAGAGGACCGCACCTGTCACCGCAGCAGCGCCAGGGCCCACGACGGCGGCTGACACACGTGCTGAATGGGTAAGCGAGTTACCAACCCAAGGTCACGTTTGCGGGAGGGAGGCTCCGCATCTCGGAGGTGGAGGTGGGCAGCTGCCGCCTCAGGACGTTGGGACCCTCGGAGCCGCCCGCCCCGGCCCTCCTCTTGCCCTCTGCTCGCGCGCAGGGCCCGAGCCCCGTGGCCGCGCCGCCTTACCCGAGTCCCCTTCTGGATTCTCCGCCTCGCGGGGCCACAGCAGAGCGCCGGGACCCCGGGCCGCTCTGTCACAGAAGCCCAGCCCACACGCCTTCTCTAGGACGCTGTTGCCCGAGCAACGAGGGCACTCGCTGATTGGAAAATGAGTCCGCGCACCCGGCAAGGAGAGGGACTCCGATTGGCTACGTCGGAGTGAGGGGCGTGACCAGCTCTGCCCGCTGCTCCGCCCCCGCGGGAGGAACTTCCGCCGGAAGCCCGAGTTCTAGGCGCGGGAACCCGAGGAGCGCTGGGGCGGCGGGTGTCGTGGAAAGAGGTTTCTGTGACGCGGCCTTCGCGCGAGCTGGCGGTCGGACTGGTCCCTCGGAACCAGTTCGAAGCGCGTGTCCAGAGCGAAAGCCGGCCCCTCACGAGAAGCCTAGCGTAGCCGCGCGGGGAGGGAGGGGTGTCTGTGCGCCGCATCGGGCACGTGCTGCCGCCTTGCTCAGAGGCAGTGCGCATGTGTGGTTGTGCCCTGAGGCTCCCCGCCCCCCCCCCCCAGGAGCCCGAGGGCAGCGAGGAGGCGGCGCCAGCTTGCCCTCCCTACGCATTCCCCGCCCCCGGGCAGTGCTACCGGCACAGTCCCCCTGATTACTTACAGTTTAGGGGTAGGAAGCCGAGACGGGGAGGGGTCTTCGGTCCCAGGACACGCAGCTGGTCCATAGCAGAACCAGAGATGGAACCAAGGCAGGCTAGGCCCGGCTCTCCGTTGTCGGGGAGAAGGGACCAGAGTGGCAGCCTTGCTGAGAATCCCCTGCACCCGTTTCCGGCGGCGGCCAAGCGATCCTCTGCGCCCAAGGTCATCGGCAACCTGACCGCACATCACGCGGAAGCTGGTCTTCCTTCTCACAGAGACGTACTGCGGTCTTCTCTTGCTCAGACCTCCCGCACCCTCCCTCCCCATGCGGGGCGCGTGGCCTCACCGCCAGCCCCCTCGAATCCGTTTGAGTGGAGCACACCGTTGTCTCTTAGACGCACGCCTCTTCTGCTCTGGTTCCAAAGGAGGCCAGCCCTCCCCCACCCCCAACGGCCTTCTCAGGGACTTCATTGCTGAGGTCAGCCAGTGCTCAGAGTGTGCCCTGGGAACCCCTGGGGTGGGGGTGGGGGGTCCTGAGAGCCTTTCAGGGAGTCCATAATCGTCAAAACTGTTTCCATAGCAATACGAAGATGTGACTTGCTTTTTCACACGTGAGTGTGGTAGGGTTTTCTAGAAGCTACACGATGTGTGACATTGCAACAGATTGAATGCAAAGGGAGATGGGAGAATCCAGCTGTCTTCTATTAAGTCCGACATTAAAGAGATTTGCAAAAATATAAAGCCGCCTCTCTTCACAAACTGTTTTTGTTTTGGAAAGCATACTAATTTTTCATAAAAAGTGTTCCTATGTAATGGGTTTCTTACTATTTTAAATGAATTAGTAAACAAATACTTAAAATCCGTATCTGTTTCGCCTTCTGATATGGTAAATATTGATAGAACTGACAAAAACCAAAGCTCTTTGGGATCTTAAGTACTTTCAAGAGTGTAAATAGATCTGAGGTCAAGGTGTTTGGTCCTAAGACCACAAAGGCTTACTTAGGTCATGGCCTCTCTCCCATAAAGGCCAAAAGTCTGATTCCTCCTCTCTTCCTCCCTGCCTCCCCCCACCTCTTTCCCTCATAAAATGTGTTCTAGTATCTCACATCTTTAAAAAAAAAAAAGATTATCTTCTAGTTTCTACCCCATCTCTCCGGAGAGTTGTCTGTACACACTGACTCCCAGTTGCTATTCACTTGATCAGTCTTACCAGAGGCATAGCTGGTCAATTTTCATGAATATTCCATCTGTCCCTGACTTTGCCTTGTCCTCTCAGGAGCATTTAGCACAGTTGATCACCTTTCTACCTGAAACACATTCCTATTGTCCCTCTAAAGCCATACAATCCTAGTTGTGTCCTAAACCACCACCTACTCAGTTCTCAGGCCCCACTGGTGATTTCTTCCCCCTCTGCAACACCTTTGGACCTTAGGGTCCCTCTGGCTCTGACCTAGGTGGTGCTCTCACACTCATTGCCAGCGGTGACCCCTCCACTAGTGTGTATCTGAGACTCCTTGGACTTCAGCCATCCACACAGCCCCTGATCCTCTGGCCTCCCCGACTCTGACCAGTGTCAGTAAACGGCACCTCTCAAAGCAGGAAACCCTGTCTTCCCTTGATGATCATTGTCTCACCCCCCACATCTAGTCCTTCAGCAAAGTCCTCTTGGCTCCATTGCCTGAATATATACACTGTGATCTCACTCCCCCGGTCTCACCAGCCTCACCAGCACCACCTGCCTTAGGAGGAGAAAACGTAGACAGAGCCTTTACTGTGGTTCCCAAGGGAAAGGCAAGGCAGGCTCAGCAGGCTTAGCACTGGCTACTTGGAGTAATTTTGGCAGGATCTTTACTATCTGTAGAAATTGACTAACCTTGGGAGGGACAGTCACTCCAGTGTGAGCAAGGCCCCAAGACGGCAAAGCATCAGGAAACAGAAAATTTTTAAAAACGGGAAAAAAGCATGTTTAACCATTCATCGGCTGATGGGCACAAGGGTTCTTTCTTTTCACTGCAATCAATAATGCTGCTATGAACACTGGCATATGAGTATCTGAGTCCCTCTTTTCAGTTTTTGGGGCTGTACTTCTCAGAGTGGAATTCCTGGCTTACGTGGAAATCTAAGCTTAACTTTTATAGGAATCACTAAATTTTTTCCACAGCGGCTACAGCATTCGACATTCCCAACAGCAGCTTACAAGGATTACAATTTCTCACATCCTCACCAACATTTGCTGTTTTCTGCTTTGGGGGTTTGGTTTTATTATGATTACAGCCATCCTAGGAGTGTGAAGTGGTATCTCACTGTGGTTTTGACTTGCATTTCCCTAACGACTACTGATGTTGACCATCTTTTCATGTGCTCATTGGCCATTTGAAGGTCTTCTTTGTAGAAATGTTTTTTCAAGTCCTTGACATATTTTTAATTAGGTTGTCTTTATATTGAGTTCTGGGAGTTTTTTATGTGTTCCGGATATTAAACCCTTATCAGCTGTGTCATTTGTAAATATTTTCTCCCATTCTAAGGGTTTTCTTTTCAATCTCTTGATAGGGTCTTTTCATGCACAGAAGTCTGTAACTGTATTGATTTTTTGAATTCTCCTTCTAATTGGGTAATGTTAGCATATAGGAAGATCGTTGCCTCTCTGTATGCGGACTTTTTATCCAGTGACTCTCGTGTATCAGTTCTAACTAATACTAAGCATCTTTTGTATTTTCAGCTTGCACAGAATTGTGTGTGACCTGCAAATGAATTTTATTTTTTGCTTTTCTCATCCTTATCTTTTAGATTTGTTTTCTTTCTTTCTTTTATATATGTATATATACTTATATATATATAAATTTTTTATATATAAAATATATATCTTTCTCATATATATATATATATAGAGAGAGAGAGAGAGAGAGAGACAGAGCATGAGCAGAGGAGGGGCAGAGAGAGAGGGAGACACAGAATCTGAAGCAGGCTCCAGGCTCCGAACTGTCAGCACAGAGCCCGATGCGGGGCTCGAACCCACAAACCGTGAGATCATGACCTGAGCCGAAGTCGGACGCTCAACCGACTGAGCCACCGAGGCGCCCCTAGATTTGTTTTCTTGATGATGGCCCTCACTAGGCTCTCCAGCATAGTGATAAATAGGAGCGGTGATTGCAGTAAACTCTGTCTGATGAACATGCTTCCAGTGTTTCCCCACAGAACATGCTGTTTGCTTTGGGGTTTTGTTTGCAGATTAAGATTGGATTTTAAAAGTTTCCTCCTAGTTCTGGTTCACAGAGAATTTTTATTAGGTGTTGAGTTTTGCCAAACTTTTTTCTACATTTATTGAAATGATCCTATGTCTTTTCTCCTTTATTCTGTTAATGTGATAAATTTTTTTGATTATTTAAAAAAAATTTTTTATTTTATCTTTCTTTAATTTTTTTGAATGTTTTATTTATTTCTGAGAGAGAGAGAGCAGGGAAGGGTCAGTGAGAGAGGGACACACAGAATCTGAAGCAGGCTCCAGGCTCCAAGCTAGCTGTCAGCACAGAGCCCGACTCCGGGGCTCGAACCCACTAACTGTGAGATCATGACCTGAGCTGTAGTCGGACGTTTAACTGACAGAGCCACCCAGGTTCCCCTATTTTTAAAAATTTGTTAATGTTTATTTTTTAATTAGCATTCAATTCAAAATCTTGCTTGAATTTCCATTGTGATGTCTCTCTTGACCTATGGTAGTACAGAGCTATATTAAATTACAGACATCTGGGCATTTTCTAGCTGTATTTTTGTTATTGATTTCCAGCTTAATTCCACTGTGGTCCAAGAACACAAAGGTAAGATTTGGGTTTATTGAAATTGTTTGGAAAAAAAAAAAGAAATTGTTTGAGACTGACTTTCTGGCTCACCATATGACCAATTGCGATGAATGTTCTATGTGTACTTGTCTAGTGAAGTTGTTGGGTTTTTTTTTCTTTTAATCTTTTTAAAAAATATCCTTTCCTGTCTAATTATTTTTGAGAGAGACAGAGGTAGAGTGTGATCAAGGGAGGGGCAGAGAGAGAAGGAGACACAGAATTGAAAGGAGGCTCCAGGCTCTGAGCTGTCAGCACAGAACCTGATGCGGGGCTCGAACCCACGAACCGTGAGATCGTGACCTGAGCCGAAGCTGGACCCTTAACCGACTGAGCCACCCCAGCACCCCCATTCACCTTCACTTTTGAAGGATATTTTTCCTGATTGTAGATCTCTAGGTTGGCGGTTGTTTTTGTTCAACTCCTTAAAGATGCCATTTAGCCATATGCTGGTTTCCGTCATTCCTGCTGTAAGGTGTTCGGTCTGTGCAACTGTTAGTCTTTAGAAAGTCCTGTGTCTTTCTTCTCTCCAGAAATTGGTAAG